GGTTCCGACACATAACACACTTTTTTCAGGAAAGTAAACCTCCAGGGGTCCTTTCCATATTTTTACAGAGACTGCATAAGGACCGTTAGAAAAGCATTACCCATTGATTATTAAGCTTGGACCAGTGGGGTCCGGTGTTCGGGCCCCACCACGTAAAACCAGTCCCCATGACGTGAGTGGAATCTCAGGTTATGGAACCCACCAGGAGTTGAAAACAAGTGCACACATACACACAAACACACACACATACACACACATACACACACACACACACACACACACACACACACACACACACACACACACACACACACACACACACACACACACACACACACACACACACACACACACACACACACACACACACACACACACACACACACACACACACACACACACACACACACACACACACACACACACACACACACACACATACACACACACACACACACATACACATACACACGCACATACACACACACACATACACACATATGCATAACTGTTGTATAATAACTATAGTATAATATCACCCACACATATAGTGTTTACCAGGAGGCTATTATGTCACTACTCCTGGGACCAGAGAGAGACCATAAAGAGAGAGACCAGAGAGAGAGACCATAGAGAGAGACCATAGAGAGAGACCAGAGAGACACCAGAGAGAGAGACCAGAGAGAGACCAGAGAGAGACCAAAGAGAGACCAGAGAGAGAGACCAGAGAGAGGCCAAAGAGAGACCAGAGAGAGACCAGAGAGAAACCAGAGAGAGAGACCAGAGAGAGACCAGAGAGAGACCAGAGAGAGAGACCAGAGAGAGACCAGGGAGAGACCAGGGAGAGAGCAGAGAGAGACCAGGGAGAGAGCAGGGAGAGACCAGAGAGAGACCAGAGAGAGACCAGAGAGAGACCAGAGAGAGAGACTAGAGAGAGACCAGAGAGAGAGACCAGAGAGAGACCAGAGAGAGACCAGAGAGAGACCAGAGAGAGAGACCAGAGAGAGACCAGAGAGAGAGCTCTGACATTTTAAACATATTTGTTCCGTGACTATGTTTCTGGAGGATGGAGATTTCAGATCATAAATGTGGTGAGCTTTATCTTTGTGGCTCGCTGCGTGCTCATTGGCCGGTGACTCAGATGGTCCGACAGAAGCTCCGCCCCCTCAGCAGAGTGGGATACACATGTGTACTGGGTTATGTATGCATGAGGGGACGCAGCAGCTGATCCACACACAAATACACACACACATACACACACACACACACACACACACACACAAACACATACACAAACAAACACAAACACAAACACACACAGAGACAAAAACACACACACGTACACACTCTTCACCTGTTCGGCTGGAATCTATAATTTATGAGAAAATAAACGTTAAATGGATTAATGAAAGCACAGTGACTGGACTAGAGACCAGACTAGAGACCGGACTACAGACCGGAAAGAGACAAGAACATTTCCATCATATTTTTCACAATGACAACTTTATAAAGGAAAAAGCAGCACCAGTAACAGCCCAATCTCTGACAGTGGAGGCTTCACTCCCCCGAACACAGCTCCACGGCTCGTTACGAAGTCAGTTTTCTCCAGTATGTGTCCAAAAACCCGGTAATCACCATTTAAACCCATTTGGATCTCTCCGTGGCTTTGAGGCATTTCCATAATTTATGTTTTTCCTTTAGTCCAACTCTGCAGAAAACCCTCCGTCAGACTCTGGATCTAAAGCTGAGTTTGCAAAAATACAAAGTGCAAAACGATTTCAGCCATTAGTCACCACAAGAGCCATAAACGGGAGCATCCATCACCAGACAGAGGCCCTGGACCGGTCTACAGCCTCAGTCCTGGGTCTACAGCCTCAGTCCTGGGTCTGCAGCCTCAGTCCTAGATCTACAGCCTCAGTCCTGGGTCTACAGCTACAGTCCTGCTCTGATCAGTAAAACACATCCCCGCAATCAAACACATGCGCTCTCTCTCTCTCACCTCTCTCTCACCTTCCTCTCTCTCTCCCCTCTCGTCCTCGCCTCCTCTCTCATCTCTCAGTGCCGCCTTCTCTCTCTCTCTCCCTCTCTCTCCCTCTCCTCCTCCACTCCGCTCTCTCTCTCTCCCTCTCTCTCTCCTCTCTCTCTCTCCTCTCCTCCCTTCTCTCTCTCTCTCTCTCTCTCTCTCCTCTCTCTCTCCTCTCTCTCGCTCCCCTCTCTCTCTCCTCTCTCTCTCTCCCCTCGCTCCCCTCTCTCTCCTCTCTCTCCCCCCCTCTCTCTCTCTCTCTCTCTCTCTCTCTCACTCTCTCTCCTCTCTCTCCTCTCTCTCATCTCTCTCTCTCTCTCTCATCTCTCTCTCCTCTCCCCCTCTTTTCCCCATCCTCCCCTTATGTCACCGCCTGCAGATGACAGCAGTGCCCAGCTTTTATTATTGATGAGAAGAGAAGATAAGAGAGAGCGAGAGACCAGAGAGATTTTAGAGAGAGAGAGAGAGAGACCAGAG